TGATGTAAAGACAACCATTTTTAAATTAGACCCCCATCGTGTAAGCCAACCTAATAAACTCCCTTTATATATCATATGTATATATGTTTATGTGTGCATATATATAAAACATCATGTAAGTCAACCTAATAAATTTTTATATATACATATTATACATATATATCCTAGTTATAAATATATTCATTTTATTGGTTCTGTTCCTCTAAAGAGGCCTAATATAGCATACTAATACAAGACATTCAAAAACTGGTTCACAGTGAAATAATATATATTTCAACAGAAAAATTAGAGTAAAACTGAGATCCGTACACTAAAACAATTGTGAAGTCACTATGATATCTGTAAGTCTCAGTATGGGTTCTGTGGTGGTTTGAATAAGATCCTCTCCTCATAGTCTCACAGACTTGAACGCTTGCTCAGTAGGGAGTGGCACTACTCAACAGGGATTAGGTGTGGTCTTGTTAGAGTGGGTGTGTCACTGGGGGGGTGGGCTTTGGGGTTTCAAATGCTCAAGCCAGGCCATTTCTCTCCCTGCTCCTTGCTGATCCAGATATAGAACTCTGAAGTACCACGTCTGCCTGCACGCTGCCACGCTTCCTGCCATGACAACAATGGACTAAATGTCTGAACTGTAAGCCAGCCCCAAGTAAGTGTTTTACTCTGTATGAGCTGCCATGGCCATGGTGTCTTTTTCACAGCAATAAAAAACGTTGACTGAGATAGGTATCATGTTGCTAACACAGATACTGCCATAACTGGATTCCCTGGAGACGAGATTCTAATGGGAAGCTCTGGAACGCAGATAACCCTTTTCACCCCTGCATTACTCAAGTAATCAATAGACGCAGGGTGCCCCCTGGGAGGCAGAGTGTCTTAGGGTTTCTATTTCTGTGATGAAACACCGCGACCAAAAAGGAAATGGGGAGGAAAGGGTTTATTTGGCTTTCACGTCCACAGCACATCATTCAAGGAAATCAGGACAGAAGCTCAACAGGCAGGAGCTGATTCAAAGGCCACGGGGAGGGTGCTGCTTACTAGCTTGCTCCTTATGGCTTGCTTAGCCTTCTTCCTCTTTTTCTTTAAGATTTATTTTAGTATTTATACGCTATCCTAATTGCATGTGTACCTGCAGGCCAGAAGAGGGCAGCAGATCTCATTATGGATGGTTAATGAGCCACCACATGGGTGCTGGGAATTGAACTCGAGACCTCTGGAAGAAAAGCCAATGTTCTTAACCTCTGAGCCATCTCTCCAGCTCCCTTTTTCTTATAGAACCCAGGATCGCTAGCCCAGGAATGGCACCACCCACAACGGGCTGGACGCTCCCCCATCGATCACCAACTAAGAAGATGAATCTTACAGAGGCCTTTTCTCAATTAAAGCCCCCTCCTCTCAGATGACAAAAGCATCCAACACAGTAAGTACGGGTGACGCAGCTACCATCAGCTAACAGCGGTCTCAGCTGAGGTGTCAAATAGCAGTACTGCTAGCAGCTAAGGTTAGGCAGGCCCAGACCTGACACTTGCTTTGGATGGTCAGGACTACGGCCATCTCCTCCGGGAGTCTGGTACCTATCTTTCCTTAAGGAAAACTGCATGGAAAAGTAATAGAACATCGTACAAGCCCACTGTCACAGCTAGTCTCCAGATCGTGCCGCTAAACCAGTGATTTTTCAACCTGTGGGTCGCAACCCCTTTGGCAGTTACTAATCAGGTGTCATCCTGCATCTCAGATATTTACAAAACAGTTCAGAATGATAGCAAAATCACAGGTATAAAGTAGCAAAAAAAAAAAAAAATAAATGTTGTAGTTGGGGGTCAGCACAACATGAGGAACTGTATTAAGGGTCACAGCTTTGGGAAAGTTGAGAATCGCTGCTCTGGATGATTTAAAAAAAAAAGACTTAATTGTGCATGTGTGAATGCGGATGACCCAGATTACAAAAAAAAAAAAAAAAAAGCATCAGATTTTTGGAGCCAGAGTTACAGGTGTCTGTAACTCAGGTCTTCTGCATAAGCAGCCGGCATTCTTGCTTGACCTCTGAGCCAGCTCTCTGGCCCCTTCTCCCCATTCTTAACCAGCGCTTTTCAGAACTGTCAGGAACACTGAGAGCAAGAGGAGTCTAAGAAATTTTCATGGCCAAGAGGAGTCTCTTGATTCACAGCAACCAAACCAAATTTAATATGGAGGCCCCGATGAGGCCCTGGCACAAAAATATGTTAGGTGAAAACTTAAAATAACTGAACAAGCTGTGGACTTCAGTAAGGAATTTCATTAATAGTAAGTCTGCTGGGACAGAAAAGACAGCTCGGTGGTTAAGAACACTGGGCATTTACAGAGGACCCGGGTTCAGTTCCCAGCACCCACGTGGCGGCTTACCACAACACTCTTAAAATTCCAATGTCTGGCCATCTGGTGCCCTCTTCTGACTTCCTCGGGAACCAGTCATGCATACAATGTACTTGCATACACGCAGGCAACACACTCATACACAGTTTTAAAAATTAAAATAAATGAATCTTGAAAAAAATGATGACTGCCATCTCCGTAGGACAGAGTAATAATTTTATAGTTTACTGTCTTGGCCAGTGGGTGGAGAATTTTCAGGACTTTCTATTTGTCCTTCTCATTAAGACAGTTCTTTATCCACAAGCCAAGACCCAAATATTTATGCTGGAAGTGGGGTGACTGCAATGAGGCCGATTATGAATTCAGTGTCAGTAAGTCCCAGGGGAGAAGCCATGTAAAATCTCTCAGATGTTCCTATCTGGAAAAGGAGGCAACAACCATACGCCAATCCAAGGGTCAGGGTAACCAGGACCTTGTAGTTCATGGTCCTTTCGGGGAGAGTATGTTCCCCTTCCTCCTCATAAACATCCACAGGGGAATTACTGTCAGAGACACCTGCAAGAGCATCAAGTCCTTTTTCTTGGGGATCTACCCTGTCTCTTGGTCAATAGTTTACAGACTTGAAAAGTAGCCAAGCTCTAGCACCCTGACAAAAAGATCATAGTCTTTTATTAGGATGGCTGTGTCCTATCCCCCATTCACCCAACCCTGAGAAATTTCAGTGGTATACCTTGAACCATCGAATTTTTACCTGTTTACCCATTGAATTCGCCATGTTCTATTAGCTATCTCCAAAGCTCTCTGCAGGCCATGCTTGATGGTAACTGTGTCCAGTTTGTTCAGATGATGGAACCCTGCCGCCGGGCCTCTGCCCTTCTGCACCTCTGCTATCAGTGAGACTTCTTGTGAAACAGCATCTGGCCTGCAGAGGTATCAAGGAGCTTCTAGTTGACTCCAGCACCCAATGAACACACCCCTCATCGCCACGTTAAACATTTTCTCTAAAAATAATTATAGAACTTTACTGTCCTGTCCAATAACATCCATGAAATATAAACTCAGGTATTCGACCTGCTGGTTACAGGGATTGTTTTTCCCCCAGATGCCCAATAGACTAATTAACTTGAATATAAAAATGTGTTCCCATCTACGACTTAAAACCAGCACACAGATGAATCTTTGAGAAGTACTCAAGTGGTCCACAAGGAGGTGGTGATTACAGTAGGAGAGTCCTGTGGCCTCCCGACCCATCTGTAGCCCTGGTCCTGCTGAGAACGCTGTGATTTCTCAAGGGCCCACTTCCATCACTCCGGGCCTCTTGTACACTAGTGTCTACTTATCCAAGCACAAACTCACTCCTTGACTGGATTTAGGGGGCAGAAGATCTTTAAACCCATCTGCCTCTTGGTTTCTTCTCCTTTTAACGTACGCATTGAAGCAACACCAGAGTTCCTCCCATTTGTCAGAAATATAACACACACTCAACTTAAAAGCACACAGAGAAATCTTTTTAATTCCTTAGAAAAACATTCCTGGGTAATTTCATGTATTCTAATTACCTCAGAGATAATTTTATCCTTACTTGTTCATTACCAAAAAAATTAAAACTATTGTTTACAATTCACAGACAAGCTCATATATTTTGACATCAAAAAACGACAAAAGACAAAACAAATTCTGAGAGATAAAAACAATATAACATTCTAAGATTTATTTTGTTTATTTTATTGCTTATCTTGTAAAAGCCCACAGAAGTAACTGAAAATATCCACCGGCTAATTTTAAACACTATGCAGCAGAAATTAAGTACTAAATATTAAAAAATAATAATAATAAAACTTTTACCTTACTTATTAAACTAGAAAGAATTTTCCTGAAACACATCTGTTAAATTAGTCTACAATATATTAGTGGATGAAAGACACGTATTTCCTAGGAAATATTTTAAACATGGAGTACACAAGCAAAAAAAAAAAACAAAAAACAAAAAAAAAAACCTTCTCAGGATATGAAATTTTTCAAGTCACAGTCCCCTGAACAGATTAATAGATATTTATTTTCAACCTGAAGTCAGAAGTGCAAAATCATTAAAAATAAAAATATCTCTATTGTTCTCAGCAGTCCACTGACAAGTCTCAAAGTCTTTAAAGGCTCTTCAGCAAGACGAACCACAAGCTCTTGGCAAGCTCCTTGCTTAAGATCTTGGGAAACAGGGCTTCTTGGTCTGTGGCCAAGCTGCACCGTTAGCAGAGCTCCATTTTGAAAAATCATCTTCAGAGGGATAGAAGACCTCTGTCGGTGGGTCACTGCCTTGTGTGTCTGCAAGTCTGCACCAGAAGGTCACTGGACAGCTGCAACCCTCGGCTAATAGGCAGCATACAGGCCAAACATTCCAGTTCACAGATGCTATTCAAAAACAAAAAAACAAAAAAACCCAAGGGCCTTTGGACTAGAAATGGGCAACATGTAAAAAATGAGGTAACTGGGTAACTTTAATTTGGGGGGTTAGTGCTGAGGTTTTAGGGTGCTCGCATCACAGGTGAAGACACTTAGGTGCTCGAAGTTCTGCTATCTGGGCTGCACATTCCTATTGTCTGGGCCACCTATACTTAAAAAAAAAAAAAAAAAAAAAAAAAAGTCCGTTGCTCAAAAGGATGCCCCGAACCTTTTGAGCTGCTGCAGGTGTTTCCGAATCAAAGAGAGGTCATACGAGGCCTAAAACTTCATTAAATTTGAGGCACTCCATCTAGTATTACATTTAATAATGACTACTTCAGTGTTGGTGAAGTAACTCGGGGCTCAGCCACACTTTCTCTGTTGGTCACGCTATTCTGTTGATTAGAGAACATCTCCCCGGGGTTCAATGGCTGTAGCTTTTATAACCAAGGAGGCAGCGAGTTCTTGGAATCTGAATATGGAGGAAGGACTAGCCACCAGCCAACCCTCTGGCCTCCCTCATGGCCGGGGCCCGGGTGTTTCAGTGTAACCAAAGCATTCTTAGGCCAAGGCTCTAAGGAAGACCTTATGCTTTATAGGATTCAGAGCTGTGTTGGAGTGGAGAAGGCCCTCTCCTGGCTCATCAACTGCAGGGAGCTGCCTGACTTTGGCAAATGACGGTGCCGAGGTGAAAGAACTCCGTCCTTCTTGGCCTCCCTCTAGGGACTTGGAAATGGAAGATACTGCAGTTTCTTCTGGCCGTCTGCCAGGCATGGGACCCCAGGCTTCTTGGGGTAAGTTCGGCTAGCGATCTTAAAGAACTCTTCAGCAGCATCCAGAGCGATGAGACGATCCTGCAGTTAAAAAAAAAAAAAAAAAAAAAAGGAAAGTTGCAGGTTGGAAACCAAGCCATATGGATGAAAAAAGGTAATAATAAATAATAAAGCCTGCCCTAGAAATAATACCAGCAAGAAAAATATTCATTAAAAACGTCAAGACTCACCTTACACGCATCAGAATGGCCAAGATGAAAAACTCAAGTGACAACACATGCTGGAGAAAGGGGAACCTTCCTCCACTGCTGGTGGGAATGTAACCTTGTACAACCATTCTGGAAATCAATCTGGCGCTTTCTCGGATAACTAGGAATAGCGCTTCCTCAAGATCCAGCTATACCACTCCTAGGCATATATCCAAAAGAGGCTCAAGTACACAATAAAGACATTTGTTTAACCATGTTTGTAGCAGCTTTATTTGCAATAGCCAGAAGCTGGAAACAGCCCAGATGCCCCTCAACTGAAGAATGGATGCAGAAATTGTGGTACATCTACACGATGGAGTATTACTCAGCAATGAAAAATAAGGAAATCATGAAATTTGCAGGTAAATGGTGGGACCTGGAAAGGATCATCCTGAGTGAGCTGTCCCAGAAGCAGAAAGACACACATGTATATACTCTCTCATATAGACATAAAACATAGGATAAACCTACTAAAATCTGTACATCTAAAAAAACTAATCAAGAGAGAGGACCTTGACTAAAATGCTCAATCTCCATCCTGAAAGGCAAAGAGGGTGGACATCAGAAGAAGAAAGCAGGAAACAACCTAGGAACCTGCCACAGAGGGCCTCTGAAAGGCTCTGCCCTGCAGAATATCAAAACAGACTCTGAGACTTATGGCCAACTGTTGGGAAGAGTGCATGGAATCTTATGTAAGAAGTGGGAAACAGTAAGATCTGGAGAGGACAGGAACCCCACAAGGAGAGCAACACAACCAGAAAATTTGAACACAGGGGTCTTCCCCAGAGACTTATACTCCAACCAAGTACCAGGCATGGAGATAACCTAGAACCCCTGCACAGATGTAGCCCATGGCAGTTCAGTGTCCAAGTGGGTTACATAGTAATGGAACAGGGACTGCTTCTGACATGAACTGATTGGCCTGCTCTTTGATCACCTCCCCCTGAGGGGGGAGCAGCCCTACCAGGCCACAAAAGATGACAGTGCAGCCACTCCTGATGAGATCTGATAGACTAAGATCAGAAGGAAGGAGAGGAGGACCTTCCCTATCAGTGGACTTGGGGAGGGGCATGCGTGAAGAAGGGGGAGGAAGGGTGGGGTTGGGAGGGGAGGAGGGAGGGGCTTATGGGGGATACAAAGTGAATAAAGTGTAATTAATAAAAAAATAAAATTATACATCAAAAAAAAAATGTCAAGACTCAAGAGACTTACCTTAGTCTTTTACTTATATTACCCAAAAGGTGTTTCCACCAATATTTTGCTGGTGAGAACATATGTATGTACAAGGGTGTGTGTGTGTGTGTGTGTGTGTGTGTGTGTGTGTGTAAGTGTATTTGGGTGGGCCTCTGTGACCTTTGATGGTGTTCCTCACGAACCACCCGACCTTTGTTTCACTCTTTTTTGAAACAGAAGTCTCACCAGACTGGCTCCTGACTCCTGACTCCAACAGGCTGGCTGGCCAGCAAGCCTACGGTAAGGTAATCTGCCTGTTTCACTGCATCGCAGCCCGGAGATTAGCAGCACTGGTACCATGTCAGGCTTTTCAGGTGAACGCTGGGGACACACTCAGCTCCCCATGCTTCCACAGCCAGCAAGCATATCACTAACTGAACTCCTCCCCAGTCCCTCCCTCAGTCTTTCACACCTTAGGCTATATAGATACTTTGACTCTTTGACCTAATGTTGAAACTTTAACCACACAGAAGAAATCTTCTGAAAAACAGAGACTGCCTGAGCCTCAACAGATTTACATGGAGTCCAGAAACCCTTCTCCTCAAGGCTTTTCAGGTGGCTCTGGTGCCACCAGCCACAGGTTCATGTCCCGGTGGAGCTGGTGAGGCTGGGATGGGAGGGTCCCAGGAAATAACAGAAAAGGTGAGAGTAAGGAGAAATGGATGATGAGGAAGGGCATCCACTTACCACAACCAAGAGATACCTCTCAGAGAGCTCCCAACTGGCTGGGAAGATAGAGGTCTCTTCGGCCAGTTTTAACAGCATCTCCCGGGCTTTTCTCGTGTTTTTAGAATCACTCATGGTGCTGAGCTTGGTCACTGACAACAAAGAGTCTGCTTCCCTTTGAAAACCTGAGGTAGAAAAATGTAGCCCTTGTATGACATCATAACTAGGAAACACCCATTCTGTGAGAAGGGATCCAGCCGAGTGTGGTGGCGCACACCCTTGAACCCGTGAGGCGGAGGCGGGTGGATCTCTGAGTTCAAGAACAGCCTGATCTACAAAGCAAGTTCCAGGACAGCCGGGCTACACAGAGAAACCCTGTCTCAAAAATAAAACAAAACAAAAAGAATCCAAGTGTGGATTCTGTACAGTGAAAACTAAAATCAAAGCCACTACTGATTGCTGCTTCCCAGCTGTGTGTGAGTGGCTCTTTACTTAAAACTATACCATGCTTCTCCTTACTGGCTTTTCTGCATTATCTTTCCCCTCTATTGAGGGAGGTCAGACCCTGACCCCTACTGCTCACTGCCCTTTGTCAGCTGCCCTATCCTAGAATTTCCTATGCCCCTCCTACTCAGTTGTCATCCCCAGGTCCCTATATCTCCAAGCCCCGATTTTCTTTCCTTGTTGTAGTCTAATGAACTGGTGAAAAAGTTCTTTCCCAAAGACAGAAGATTCTCGAAGAATGAAACCTGCTCATACTGACTTACGTTGTGAAAAGGAGTTAGTAGTTAGGAGGGCAGAGCCTCCATCTTAGCCCATTATTCCACAACTAACAAAGGCTAGCAACCTGGTATCCCACCTTTGAAAATCTATAATGCCAGGGGATCATGGCATTCCAAGAAGAATCATCTAGGACTTTAAAAGTGACCGTAGCTGGGGACAGTGGCACATGCCTGTAATCCCAGCACTCGGGAGGCAGAGGCAGGCAGATCTCTGTGAGTTCAAGGCCAGCCAAAATGAGTCCAGGACAGCCAAGTCTGCACAGAGAAACCCTGTCTCAAAAAAAAAAAAAAAAAAAAGTGATCATCTATTTTTGAACACTAAAGCAAGCTTCTTTTAAGAAAGGCCATTATTCAATGTCTACCATAATGCCAAGTGTATTTTCCCAACCTTGCAATTTTTGCTGCCTTTTGCTTCTTTTAGAATTTTCTGTGTCTCGATATCTCTTACAAACAGTATTTCTTTCAGCCTATCATATCCATAAAGCTATTTGTTCCATCATCCTCCATCTAATTCAATCAATAGATAATAGCAAAAACAGTAAATAGTAACTAATGCCCATGGCTTTACTACCTTCTGTCATCTCATATTTAGGGACAGATGACATAATTTAATATGGCCAAGTAACATGAGCTGTTGACAACGGAAATATCAAGGTTTACGCTTGAGAGTATACAAGAAAAACTGAGAAGCTAATCCGGAGAAGGCAATTTAATTAGTCAGTGGCTGACAATCTTTTGGCAAAAACCATGGTGGAAAAAGTGAAAAGCAATGCACACAGACTAGTTATTTTTACCATTTCATGATCTCTTTCAGACTCACCCAAATCTTCTAAGATCCGCCTCCATCTGTTTCTCACTTCCCTTCGCACCTGCCGCAGGGTGTAGATATCATAGTTGAGTCTTTGCCACTCCTGTAAACAGAAAAAAGTTCGCTTTGACTTACGCCCTCTGGCCTAAAACCCCTACCTCATCTCTGAACTGCATGTTGCTTAAACATGTGTTTCTTCTCTTCTACGCCTATTGAACACAACCCTAAAAGAAAAGAAAGCATAGATGACATGGCGTTGGCCAGAGTGTCATCGGCTACCCACTGCTGAAGAATCTGCCCCCTTCTGGGTGACATCATATCTAACGATGCAACTGAGACTCTCTGATTATCAATTCTCTCCATGGCAGTGACCTTGACCTGCAAAATGGGGTTAGCAACAGTGAAGTAAGACTACTGTCAAGATTTAAGGTATAAGGACTGGAGAGATGGCTCAGAGGTTAAGAGCACTGGTTGCTCTTCCAAAGGTCCTGAGTTCAATTCCCAGCAACCACATGGTGGCTCCCAACCATCTGATGTGCAGTCACATGCAGTCAGAACACTGTGTACATAATAAATAAATAAATCTTTTAAAAAGAAAAAGGATTTAAGGTATAAAATATTAGGATAAAGGCTGCCTCAGCAGGTAAATTGCTTGCTATACAAGCCTCGGTCAGGACCAGAGTTCAGATCCTGAGCCCTCTGCAGATATCCAGTGGGTGTAGAGGCTTGTCTGTAATTCCAGTGCTCAAAGGCAGAAATATGGGCCTGGGTCAGGGGTCACTAAAAGTAGCTGGAAAGCTAGACTAGCCAAACTGGTGAGTTCTGGCTTCACCTGAGACACTCTGCCTCCACGAATAAGGTAAAGAGTGGCTGAGGAAAACGGCTCACATCAGTACACACACATGCACCACACACACATATGTACAATGCTCAGATACATATAAAAGAAAAAAAAAGGTCAATGCCTGCCTACAATGAACCCATGTATTTGGGGCAATGTGTAGATGAAGAAACTAAGGCTCAAATAATCTACATGATGAATCTAATATATCCCAGGTAATAGATATTAGCAATGGTGTTTGAACCTAAGTTTTACTCCCAAGTCCATGAAAAAAAAAAAATCTACATCTCCGTTTGTTGTCAGAATGATATACAGATATAGAAAACTCAAACATCCTGTCTCCCACACTGTTTCTTAGCATCACTCTCTTGATAGAGTAAATTTAAAAGGTTACCATCCTGGAAAGTGCTTTATCAGCTTTTGGGTAGTATGAGCATCCTAATTGTTGAGCCTCATAGAGAAGCTTTACCACATTAAACATTCTCTTAAGGCAGTGGTACCCAAGCTGTGGGTCACAACCCCTTTGGGGACTCTTCCACGGGGTCATATATCAGATATCCTGCTTATCAGGTCTTTATATTATAATTCATAACAGCAGCAAATTACAGTTATGAAATAGCAAGGAAAAACATTTTTTGATGGGGGGTCACAACAACATGAGGAGCTGACTAAAGGGTCGAGGCACTAGGAAAGTTGAGAATTGCTGCCTTCAGTTGTCATGGAAATTTGCTTTTAAAGGAGACTTACCTCTAAAGAACAATAACTTTATAATGAACACCTTTTCTTAGAAAAGATACAGTTGTCCTCACAGCTTCAGAGAACAGCATTTTAAGTGTTCGATGTAAGGCTCCAGCTATTTAATATTTTGACTCCTGAAACTGAAAATGTTTCACCAGTGCCGTTCATTCCCAACTAAATTCCTTTTAAAATGGCCTTGCCTTGCAGACTGCCATTCAACTTTCATGCCTGGCAAAGAAAAATAAATTCGGCTGCCATTCACGTGCGCCAAAAGATATCACTGTGAATAAGAAAGTGCTCTGTCATGACTGCATTTCAGATCATATCTGAGGTCATGCCATAAGAAGAGGTGGGCTTTCTGCCACCCTTTGAGTCAGGAAGTTGTGGGTTTCCTAGTCCTTTACAGAAATAAAAATAAAAGGACCTGTGCACAAGTAAGCGTGTGGTGCCTAGAGTCAAAGACAAAAAGTCTGCGGCCTTCGAAGGGAGTGAAGTTAGCTAAATCATCTAGAAACTGTGGCAAGATGGCCCAGCAGTTGGGCGCGCTAGCTGCTGTAGTGGATGTTTTGGTGTCTTTAAAAATTCAGTTACGCAACCATGTTTTTGTTTTAATCCCAGGGGTAGGATATGGGGCTGATTCAGATCTCTACAGCAGCAAACGATTTGCTGGCTCTGAGAGGGGCTCTTTGCCAGCTTCACAAAGTTTAATTCTGAGGATTCTGAGAGGGAGTAAATGCCAGACCCAGAGAGCAAATGGGAGCTCCAAGAAAGAAGGCTGCTACTCCCCCGCTGCTCCTGGTTGCTGCTGCTGCAGTTTGGTGAGAAGAAGTTGAAGATATCCTAAAAAGACGATTGGACTTGCCCCAAGGAATCCAACGACCCTAACCAGCAGGAAGCAGCTAAGGAAAACTATGGCCCCTGTTCCCATTAACCTTCTTTCTCTCCTACCAAGTGTTGGGTGTTAGAAGGGATTAGGGTAGGGAGAAAGAGATATAAGAAACCCAAATATAATAGAGTTTAAAAATAGCACACACAAAAAAATAGCACCAACAAGCTGCTCTTCCAGAGGATGCAGGTTTGAATTACAGCGGCACACAACCAAAGAGCTCTGGTGCCCTCTTCTGGCCTCTGGGGGCACTGCATGCATATGGTGACATACACAAAACACTCACACAGGTAAAATAAAATAAAAATTTACTTTAAAAAACTATGCAATCCTGGCCTCATCTTAGCATCACATGAACACACACCTGGCCAACTCCTCCCACAGACTGGATGAATTGTAAAGGAAAAACCGGAGCAATGGCCTCTTCAGCGGAGGGACCTCACAGTATTTGAGTGTTCAAGGACATGCTGTGCCGGGCCAGACTGTCTGCCGAGGTCTCAGTCCTGCCCCACCGACAGCCTATCTCACTGCCTACACCTCACCTGCCATACGGCTGCCGTACTACCTACGCCACAATGGCTTACCACAAGGCTCAGTTGTTTTTCTAAGTCAGTGTAGACATAGTTAGGAAACAATACTGAGGGGCTGGCGGACGGCTCAGCAGCTAAGAGTGCTCACTGCCCCTGCACAGGACTCAGGTGTGGCTCCCAGCACTGATGTCAGATGGCTCACAACTGCCCAAGCCTCCAGTCCCTGGGGAATCTGATGCCTCTGCCACCCACCCCCCCGGCCCCCGCTCACAATTTTTTTTTTCCAAAACAAGATTTCTCTGTGTAGCCCTGGCTGTCCTGGATTTGCTTTGTACACCAGGCTGGCCTCGAACTCACAGAAATTGGACTGCCTCTGCTGCCGGGAGTGCTGAGATTAAAGGCATGTACCACCGTGCCCGACCTGACACACACTCACAATTAAAAATAGTAAAATAATAAACTTTTTAGCCAGGTGTGATAGCACACACCTTTAATCTAAGCATTCGGGAGGTGGGGACGGGTGGATCCTGGTGTGTTTGAGGCCAGCATGGTCTACACAGTGAGTCCAGGACAACCGGGGCAATACATAGAGAAACCCTGTCTCGAAAAGCAAAATTTTGAAAATAAATAATCCCCAAACACCCACAAATATTTGTCATACACCATACAGATAGAGAACATTACACATTAATATTGTGCAACAGCCCACTTGTGACAGCCAGAAGAAACTTTTCTAAGTTCTTAGCATCAAATGGCAATTTATTTTTCCTAAAGATTGCTTCATCTTTCTGGAGCCTGGATTTTATGACTAACCAGTTTCCACTTTCCTCTGAAATGTCAGTGTCTTCTTGTAGAAAATACGTAGGGTTTAGTAAGGATTTTGGGACTGCCATCATTTGGGGCTGCTTTTTATGCCTTTCTCACTATCATTCTCGCTTCTGTTCTCAGGTCTAGGTTTTTGCTGTCTCACTGCAGTTTCATAAAGCTGCCGTAAGTTCTGGGTTTTTCATGGTTTTAAGACTATACACAGGAGCTGCAGAGATGGCCCCAGGGTCAAGAGGTCATGCTGCTCTTGCACAGGAACCAAGTTCAGGTCCCAGCACCCATGTTTCGTGGCTCACAACCACCTGTAACACCAGCTCCACGGATACAGTGCCATCTTCTGGCCTCCGTGGGTACTGCACTCATGCACATATGCACACGCATGATTAAAAATCTTTGAATCTTTAAAAGGCTACGGGGTTAACGTATTCGCATCATACAGTGCTTCCACTCTACCAAACTGACCATGTATTCTGAACTCAGTGCACAGTGATCAGAACTTTACTCATACTTGATTAGGAGCCCACATAACCAACCGGCTCACAAGGACCCCGAACCTTAACTTACACAACAGACCACTCGGTGGCTTCATTAACTTGTGGTTGACACTCTATTAATTTGTCTCACTTTGGGGTGCTGATGTCTCTCTTACCTTACTCTCTTTGTGTATAGATAAAAGTTTTATTTTTCAGAGCTAGAGGCACTAAAAATGGATACAATATTCAGTGTTGATACTTATCAATAGAAAAATAACTGAAAAACGGACATCTGGAAGAGAAAACCCTTGGATCATCCAGGTGCCAGACTTTCCCCTCCTGCTGTCCATTATTGTTTTACAATCCCCCTGATGGAGAGGCTACTATGATTGACACAGGGCTTAATGACTGTGACTGACCCAAAACAGGTATCTGTGATTGGTGATGGGCAGCAGCTGGCAACCTCACAGCTAAACTGGTGCCCATCTCAGGCAGCAGCACCTGCTGGAAGTAACGTGATTCCAGCTTGACAGTTATAGATCCTATCCTATGGGTATCCAAAACCATGCAGTGCCAGTAACTTGGTACCGTGTAGAACCAAGTGCCAGGGATATCCCGGGCTGCAGGTGGCCTGCAGAGGCCACAGTGGGGCAGAGAACTTAGTAGGGCTGCCCCTGGCAATACAAGACCTGCCCAATAGCAGCGTGTCCAGAACCTGAATTTTGATTCCAACAGAGATCTCATCCGCCCTCCAAGATTCCAGCCTCAGTGACAAGGGACACTGTGCTTGAATAACCCCAGCTACCCCAG